TAAGCCGAATAAATCGGCTTCGATCTCTGAAAATAATTAAATGATTTAAATTGAAGTAAGGATGTTAAAAAACTAAAATTTACAAATTTGAAATTTTATATATTTTTAAATTAATCCTAATCTTTGCATTTTCTCATTTAAACGGTCTCATTTTCACATTTAAAAATTAATTCATTTTATCAACTTTATAAAATACATTTTTCAATTAACAAATTGCAATTTTTTGGGATAATTTTCAATCATTATTCATAGCGTCATCATCATCATTATTTAATATTATTATCAATTAATTTATTTAAATTATCAACAAATTGAGAATTTTTTTCACTTTGATTTAAAAAAATTTATTGCAATTAAAATTAGAATTCACCTGAATTTGTATTTTATCTTTTTTTTGTTATTTTGTTATGTTTTCAATTAATTTAGATTACAAAAAACTGGGCGTGGAAAATGCAAATTTTGCAAACAATTTAGTTTTTTCTTCTTATTTAAAATTAAAATTTTAAAAATTCAGTAACTGTTTGACTTGATGAACTAGCCACAATTACTTAATTGACTAAATAAGTTTAGAAAGTAGCTAGTTTAATAAGTCTTATAAGGTCAATTTTACAAGATTTTGATTAAGAAAATTTAAACTCAATTTCTTTTTGAAATTCAGTAAAATTATCAACAAGAAATTTAGAATCGAGGGCTACAAAAACCCCAAACAAATAAAAATATTCTCTCAATAATTCCAAAATATCAAGCAAAATCAACCTCCAGTTACTGAAAAATTTAAAACAAAAAAAAATATTTTACTGTATTTTGTTGTGATTTTTTTTTCTTCATCTTAAAATTTAAAAAAAGAAATCAAAATATAAGAAAAAAAAATAAAATTTTCTCCTCTCAAAATTTTTTTTTGTTTTATAAAAAAAAATTTCATGAACTGGTTGAGGTGGTAGTGGGTGCCATTAAGTATTGATCCCCAACGATGTAACGATTGTCGGACACCATGACACCTATGAGAAAGAGAAGCAAATAAAAAGAATAACAAAAATAAACAAAATTGAAACTCATAAAATAATTTTTTTTAAAAAATAACACAAAATTCTTTTAAAAATGAACATAAACTGATTAAAACTAAAGGTGGGTTGGGGTGGGGAGATGGTTATAATAACATTCGCACTGATTAAATTTCAGAAACTTTTTTTTCAGTGTGTAATTTTAATTTTAATGATAATCTAATTAAAATTTTTGTTTTTTTTGTAAACTTTTATGCAGATTAACTGCATTTTGTGAGGGATTTTTTGCTTTTATTGGGAGATGAGTCAGATTTAATTATGAAAAGTCATAATTAAATAATTTTAAATTTTCATTAAATCGATTGTTTTAATATGAAAATTGACATTTAAAGCAGATTATGCTTTAATGTATCTAATGAATTTATCAAGTGATGAAAAGCTGAATTTTCGGGGATTGAAGATAAAACAAGTGTCAATGATGTCAAAGTTGATGGCTAGAGGCTTTTTTGTCTAAGACATTGGTTCTCAAACTGTGTAATAAAATCCATTTAGACACATTAAATTGAAGATTTAACGAGTATCAGTATAAAACCTAGAGGATGTTTCAGTTTTATGGACCGAAGAACCAGCTTAACATTCTTAAAATTGATGGCAGTGCCACTTGAAATTAAATTCATGATTTCAAAATATTTTCTTGCACCTGAATTTTAAGACAGAATTAAAAGCATGATCAATGTTTTTTTAAAAAAAAAAGTACAAAAATATAATCCAGCTGCATTTATGCCTGATGCCGGCTAGAAAATGGATTGTAACTCAAATCCAATAACAAGCAGGCACCACATAAGCCCTGCATTGAGCTCAATAAGTTTTCATTGAGTTATGTATTTAGTGTCTTATTGCATGTATTCATTCTGGTGTCTTAAACCTTAAAAATTTGAGACCTACAACCTCTTGATTTAAAATAAGTTAAGCACCCCTCAAAAAGTCTTAGACCATTGAAATTTAATAAGCTTCACAAAGCTTATTATAATAAAATTACAATCTGTCATCAGCATACAAACCAAAGTTATTACTTGACCTCCCTTCAACAATCACAAAATCGTCAATACATAACCCCAAAAAACTACTAATGGTCTCACATCACTCGATAACAAAACACATGTCCATAAACATCTCATCTTAAATATATTTACAAAATCCAAAAATAAATAATTAATAAACACAAGGATTGAGTAACCAAATGTCTGTAAATAAGGACTAAGATAGAAATTTTGTAATCAGTAATTAAGCAATTTATTGGATGAATGAATAGAAAAGGAGAGATGGAGTAAGTGACACAAATTGAAAGGTAAATTGACAAAATAAATTTCATTCAATTGTATTAGTGTGAAAGTTTATTTTCTTCTTAAGTTTCATTCTCATTTATCCTGCTGAAATATTCATCAAATTGAAAAATTTACAGCACTAAGTAAAGAATTACTAGCTTGACAACCGACAATTCGATTAGCTATCTAAAGAGTCTAATTGACTATGAATTATTTATCAGAAATTGAAAATTGATATAATCATTCATTTATATCTATTATCATTAGTATTACTGTACTAAGTTTATAATAAAATATAAGACATTGATGACATGAAATTGGGTGGCAAATGAGTTGGTTTGAGATGACAAATATGAAGAACACCTCTTGGCAATAATTATTAAGAAAATTTTCGACTATTAATTATACTATTTTGACACGAAGGTGTGTATATTGAATTACATAAAGCTAATAACATTTCTGTCTATCAAATTCAATTGTTCTTTAACCTTTTCAAGTTTTGTGGCCTGCTGCATCTCTCAAATAATTTATTTCCCTTCATATCTTGTGTGCAAATACAAAACGAGACACACAAACGTTTATTAATTAATAATAACACATTGTTGCTGCTATTGTTGTTGTTAGGGAATTAAATTACACACAATAATGAGATAATTTTGTTGCTTTTCGATAATTTCATTCAGAGTTGGTGGGGGACAATTAATAAATTTGAGTGCATAGGTAGATGGAAGGATGTGATTGACTCAAGTGGGACAACATAGATGTCAGAACAAGAGGATATCCATCAAATAAGCGATTTATCTTCAAAGTCTATATCAATTTTAAATTGAATCTTTAGAAAAGTAGTTTAAATGACATAGCACGGTAAAATATAATTGTTTTGATTTCAAAGAGTGTGCCTGGGGGGTCTTTTAGTTAAAAATGACCATACGTAATCGAACTTTAAAATCATTTTGAAAATTAATTTTTCGAATTTCTACAAAATCTCTTTGAAAAATTCCAAATGCTATTTCCCAAAAGCCTTCCTATCCACCAACTCTGACTCGTAATTATTCAACATTCTGTTTGTATTTTGATAGATTCTCTCCCGACTAAGATTGGCTATATACACTTAGCTATTGTATGCATTTTAATACACATGCAGACAGAGAAAATTAATAAATTAACAAGATGCATAAACATTTGTCTGATTTCATAATATTTATCATTATCATCTACATCAATAAATTTATTTGAAATAACATTGAATTAAATTCTATTTTGAAATATTTTTTTTTTTCATTTTACTACGAATTTAATTTTCTAGAATTTAATAAATTATGTTTTTTATACATTCCTAATATTATTCAATTAAAGAAGCGTTCGTCTGTAACTTTGACATGACACCCAAAGATATTGATTATGTCTGAGAAGATGTTAATTATATTTACTAAATTTCTAATCTTTAATTTAAATCTTGAATATATTTTTGCTTATTCTTTAGAAGTATTTTGACTATAGTAAACTCCTAATTATTCAAAAACATTTAATTAACAAGAAATTCTCAATTTCTAAAGAATCAGTGATTATGACTGTGACTTCTTCATCTAATCGAGTTCAAAATCCTAAAATTATTGACTACTTTTAAGTTAATTAAGAAGTTTTCTAAACTTTTATCTTTTAAACAATAACATTAAGTATTTTTATAGCCTTGTCTACAACTTTCAATCAATTCTTTTCTAATATCAATTTTAAAATCTCGATTTTTATAAGTTTTTTTTTGAAATCTTTTCAAATTCACTTTTAATTTTTCCAACATTTTGTCCTTCCAATGTATGTTTGCATACACACAATTCTCAATATAATATGAACAAAAAAGTTATCGATTCTTGAAGACAGTGGTAAATAAATGAGTGACTTTAAGGATTACTGTTTATGAACATTTCTCTTTTAGACTCTAATTTCTTCAAGATTTAATGTCATGAGCTTTGTATGAATCAGTTGCCATATCAACAATGTAATCGGTTATAGAAATCGACTTGGGAATCGAACCTATTTTGTTATAAAAACAGAGTTTTTGTCTCTTGCTGAACCGTTCAGCCACAAAGACCTTATAATACACACTAGCAAAATCGCTTACATATGGCTCCATGCCCGAGACTCTAATCTACTCAGACAACTCTTCTAAATATAAATCTTAAGTCTGACTCTGCATGACAATGACAATAAGTCCAAATTCTCAAATATCCACACACCACTGCCTTCAAATCACTCCCAAAAGACAACAAAAATTATTTAATAACGAAAAATTTTCCAAACATTTTCATCTCGATTCATATTTTATATATGTTAATTTATGCAGATCTCTTCATGTGACATTTTGAGAATTTAATTGAATAAAATTTATCCTTATTATTATTTTTATTATTATTTTAGTAGGTATAACAATGACAACAAAAAGTAAAGAAGACTTTCTTTGCTCAGTATCTTAATAAATTTTATGAAAATTACTGTTCTCACAAATGTAAAGGTAAATGAGTTGTGGCAGCAGAAAAGATATTTAAATGCTCTAATGGATGATGATGGTGGTGATGGTATAAATGTGGATAACATGTAGATGTGGCTTGTAATAGTGGATGATGTATAGAATGGTGATGATTGTGATTATTTATTGTATGAATGTGATGATTATTACTTAATATATTATTAGTTAAATGTTGATGCAATGTTGCTAGATTATTAAGATTATTGTTACCTGTTGGATATGGTAAGCCGAAACTTGGATAGCCTGAAAATCCCCGACCAGCGGCGTACGCGGCATAAGCAGCTGCTGGAAAACCTGCAAGGAAAATTTGAAGAAAACATTTAATGTTAACTGAAAGGTTCATTTCTTGGGATTTAGCATCAGTTTTGTGATTTGACAGTACTTTAAGGGGGTCATGATTTAATAATGCATCTGTACCTTAATTGTTTAGCTTAATAATGACCCCAGGTATTGATTTCTACAGAACGGTATGGTTTAAGTACACGACTAACGTGAATCAGTGGTACATCTGATATAGTAAAGAGATTAAGGAACTTTACATAAGTTATCGAGATCAAGTGTAGCACTGAACCATCTTAGAAGTTTACTAGAACCATATCATAGCAAATAAATCGGCCCCTTGAGTGTAGCATAGCCTATAACCTAGTGATAGCATTTGAAGTGACTATAAGGCATATTGTTAACCATTAGGTACACTGAGTAGTTCACTCGACAAGTTCGAAACACAAAATTGATGCTTTTTAACACGTGAATGAGGATAAATATGATGTAGTTATAGGAAAGAATTATTTTATGGTAAATTGTCAGGATAGTCAGCTTTTTTTATGATTATTAAATTTAATATCGGTGCTGCTTTTAGTCAAAATTCAAATAGACCAGGCACACCAGTCAGAAAGTCAAACCCAGCCGTTAAATAATTTAATGGCAACCTTACAATATGAACATTTTGATATTCAATAAAATATTTACATTATGATTCCTAATAACCAACTAATTCAAAAGATTTATTTAATAACACATTATTAAGGCATATCCATAAATTGCAATATTTTTTGTCTAAATATCAAGCATATAAAAGTCTCTATTAATCTAATTTCTTTCCTACAACTAATAAATATTTTATTTCATGTTTATTCAATAATCAAAAAAAAAGAAATTGTAATAAAAATATCTTACCATCGCTCAAGGTTCCCAACGACCACATAAAATCTGTTGAAAAGATTTAGAAAGAAAAACATAAAAAAATCTACTTAGAATTTTTCATATCAATTTTTTTATAATTTTTGATTCTGATAATAATTTTGATTTTTTTCATTGTCTGGCTTCTTAATCGCACAAATAAATGATAAAAGGTAGAACCGCACACAAAATAATGAAGAAATAAAAGAAAAATCAATTAGATTATAAAAAAGAAGGAAGAAAAAAAATTCAATTTTCATGAGAAATATTTTAATGAATTCAAGATTATGATGGAAAATTATCATAAATTGAATGAAGAAAATGAATAAATTGAGAAATAAGAGATGAAATTATAAGAAGTCAACATTGAGAATTGCGAATTTATTTATTAGAATTTTAATAATAAGAAAGATGAAAAATAATCAATCTCAAAGTCATTGGAAATTCAAATGCAAAGATAGAGATATATAGATATAGATACACTCACACACAGAACAAATTCAACTCAATGAGCTAACAAATCTTGTCTATATTGAAAATTTATTGATTTTTCTAAATAATTTGTTATGATTTTTGGAACGACTAGGAAATTTTCTAAATTTAAAACAATTATGATTTTGGCCAGTAATAAAATTTTATTCTATTTGAACTAGATTTGGAAAGAACTAAACTAATGTTGAATTATACGCATAGGCTCCTGTATTCCTGAAGATCTTTGGGGTCAAAAACTTTCGAAAAAAATTATAAACCCCCAAAAAAATTCCCCGTGGTAAAGACCATCCTAGCTTCTAGTATTTTACTGAAAACCTGCTCAACGAACTGCAAATGTTTAACAACATCCAACAATTCTCAATCCAAACACTCCTATTGAATAATATCTTTACAAAATCCACTCGAAATCTTTCAAATTAATAAGGAATATCTTTAATTCATCCCTAAAGTTGTCTTCATTAATTTGCCTCAACAATCTTACATTCAAATTTTAATTGGAAGTAGCAATAACATCATTGTAACAAAACAATATCAAGTCTCACAATGACAATTCAGAAACAAAAGGACACAAAGTTGGAAACTTCAAATTCACTTAACAAGAAAAAGCTAAAGAAAAATTCTTGAAGAAAATTAATTTTGTCTATTAATCCAGCAAAGAAGGATTTGGAAGTTAGACATGCAGTACTAAATGACTCATTGATCGACCTTCCGTCTAGTCTTTTCAAGATGAAGTCTTCATTACAATATAATAAGTTCTTCCCTTCAGAGAGAATGATGGAGATTTTGATAGAGTGCGATACAAATGGACTCTTAAACTTGGTGGATGGGATTTTATTGAATTACAAGCATGCGATAAAAATGTTGGATGACGAAATTTTTGTCTCTACATACAACCAAAATGGAATTAGTACACTACAATCAATGCTCAAAAGCACGGGAAACAGGAATATTAATTTAAAGGATGGTGGATTTTTTCTTATGGAAAAATCAATATGGTGTAGACAGACAGCAATAGCACGAGCAGATGATAATTATCTTTTCCAAATGAGTCCAAATGTTATCCAGAATAATATCATCACCAATGGCCTAGATTTTAATAGCATTAGGAATTCATTGCTATAAATTTTATTGGTATTCTGCTTTATTCTGTTAATCTGTCAAAGTATTTTTTTTTCTCTCTCTCTCTATTAAATTTTTGATATTCTGTATTATTCTATTTTGTTATTACAATCCAATAAAATGCGTTTATTACGCTTTTAAATGAAAAAAAAAAAATCTGAATAAAAATGTTCTCTGTTTTTCCTTTTGGGGGTCGTTTATAAGTTATGGTTATAATGTAGGGAAAGGGGAGGACTAAGCAGTGTATCACAAAAATTAACTAGATCTTAAATGGTGAGAGATTAAATTTTTCATAGACGTAATTAATGAATGACCCCAGTATAACGTCCCCTAAAAAAATGACAGTGAAGAGCATTAAGAAATGAAATAAAGGAGAAAGTTTTTTATTTAAAAAAAAGTGGAAGAAAAGTAGAAAATTGAAAAACTATTAAAAAAGGAGAGCACAAGAAAAAAAAGTTTTTCTTTTCCATTCTATTCTAATTCAATGTCTTTTTTTATTTTATTTTCTATCGCAAAAGATGATACAGAAAGGAAACAAAAGCAAGAAAACTTGAAAGTTAAAAAAAAAGTTGAAACTTAAATTCACGAAACAGCTTTCCTTTCTTGCTATTCAATTTCAACTTATTTATGTATGTTGATGAAAGCTTAAAGGAACTGAATAAGATTTTCTCCTCATCTTGTCTTGTTGGAGCTTCTCATCAACAAAACTTACTTAGAAAGTCTCACTTTTCATCATGCTGAATAATTTCTTTGTCGTTGTCTGGAGCTGTTGCTGCTTCTTTAAACAACGACTATGAGATTTCTTTCCTTTTTTTTCGTGAGATTCTCACGTATTTAAAATTTTTATTTAAAAGCTTTTTAAGCTTCTCAAGTCTTTAAAGACTTTGTCGTTCACTTGAAAGGAAATTTGTCTTTTTTTTTGTCTTTATGAAAAAATATTCTCGAGTTGAAAAATTCGATTTAAAAGCAACTTAATGAATATTAATTAAAGTTTTATCATTCATCGCATTGTGATCATTTTTGGGGCGGATTTTTATAGTCGTTAAAGGTCTGAAATCGAGTAGTAAGAGGTCGATCAAGATCGCATCCTCTTACATAATTCATTAAAATGCACTGAATTTAAAGAATCGAGTATAAGTAGCTCCTAGTTGGCTTCAAGCATTATGGTCAGATGGAAAGGGGAAAGGAAACCACTCGCTAAGAAGATTAAGCTACCCCGAATGGCACAAGTCGATTAATTGAATAGAAATCCGACCGTTCTTCGAGCTTTGATTTAAATCAAGCACCACATGAGAATCACACGGGCTTGGTGCCAGATCAATGATCAACTATCCGACTTGTGTCATTCAGGTACATTCTTGGCTATATAATTTAGTATCTTTCGTAATATTTTCGATAGGAAAAAAACCTCTGATTTTGTCAAAACTTGTTCGTAATCCGCTCTTAATTTTTCTAACCACTCAAATCAAATTCTCTCCCCTTCTAGCTACTTCTTTGGTCCCCCAATTATTGAAAATTCAATCAATAACACCCAGAAACATCTCTTTAAATTCAAAATTAAATTCCCAATAACTCAAATCCGACAAAGTTTCCCACATTTCCACTCCATAAAATTTTCGAGAATCAAATCCAATTAGTTTTGTAAGTCGATTATTTTCATCATCATCTTTACCATCTTTACACAATTTCCAAGTGAGAAAAACACGACTAAAATGTACAAATTGTAATAATCATTGACCTACATTAAAGCTATTCTAATGACTCTTAAAATTATTGACAATTTTCTTAAGAGCTAAATGAGTCGATATTTTCTCTTTTATCTATAATGACTTGAAATAAGTTGGTGACTGAATATTCTTGTTATAGAACTGAAAGTTTAATGAACTAAGAATATTGTTGAGCTCTTTTAAAAGAAATTCTATTTATAAATATTTTTTGAAAATTGACACAATTAGCTACTAAGTTGCTGTTTATATTTGATAGTGATTGTCCTTTTTGCAGATGAAGCTCAATTGACAATTTAATGGAGAACTAATTGACTTGTGGAACAAATTTGATTTGAACAGAACTAGATTGTTGACTATTCTATATACTATAAACTATATTTGGTATCAATATTTGTTTGATAAGTTCATAGAAAATTGTAAGGCTATTCTACAGTTCATTTGGCTTTACTATTGAAAAACTAATTATATTTTTGTCTGATGATATTTTTTGGGAATTAAGAATTTTAAATGACTATTTGATAAGTCTTACGTTTGATGACCAAAACAGATTGTTGTTGACCTACCTATGCTTTAATTGTATATATTATCTATAGTTTTACAATATAAACTTTAAATTGCATTTGATAGTTAACTTGAGATTAAGAAGTTTGATTGAGGAAGTTTTGTTGCAAATCTCTGCAGCTTATAACTTTTCATTGCATATGAAATGTTAATTTGTAAATTTTGCAAATTTTTTCAATTATTTTAAAAAATATGTGTGTGAATTTTAATTTATTTAAATTATAAAATAACTTTAAAAAATTTATTAATTTTAAAAATAAATCATTACTTTTTTAATTTACATTCTAAATCTTCACAAAAATGTTGATGTGATCTTTTTTTATTTATTGGGAACTTCGGCGATTTTAAAATTTTAAACAAATGTTCAAGTTTTAAATTTACAAGGATAATATTTTGATTATTTCATAGACATTTACAAAGGATAAGCTAAATAAAACCCTAGCAGATTAAAGACTATTTGTGACCTTGATGGACTAAATTATGAAATTTTTAAGACTTTTCTCTACTCAGGCTTCAATAAATTTTGAACATGTAGATAAGCTACGTCTAATCAGCTAAGAATAAATTAATAAACACACACATCTATCTACAAATAATTGAATGTTGCGAATTTGAGGTTCAGTTTTGGATGATTTAGATCATTAAACTCGAATGAGTATTTTTTGAGAATTATGTTGATTCTAGTTTCAAGATCTTGGATTTTTTTCCAATTTAAAGAAACTAGTTCAAAATAAATACACAAAATATTCTCAATAATTATTTAAGTGAATGATTTTAATCACAAAGAACTATTTTGATTTCAATAAGTCTTTGGATTTGATTTGGAAATTTTTTTAACGGGAGTCATCAAATCAATAAAATCATTTCCAATTTTTTAGGATAACAAACCGATTCTTTTAAATGAAAAATAGCTAATATAGAAAAATTGGGAATTATTTTCAAGGGGAAATAAATTTTCGCAATGTGTACTTCCAATACAGATTTTTATACAACAAAAAAATATCATCAGTCATCAGCTACGGTTTCATATAAATATCATCACAAATTGAATCCATACTCCATATCCAATACATAATCATCATAATATATGGTGAGTCCTAGGATAGCAATTAAGTATAGTTCTACT